GCCAAGAAATTGGGGTCAGAGACATACTCATGTTAATCAACTGGGGAAGAGTACAGAGACCACATACTTCATATTTTTCCTGGTGATATCATAGCCCCCAAGCCTGGCACTTGAGTGAAGAGGTCCTAATGCCATAGGGATATGCAACAGAGCTATTTCTGTATGGTGATTCAGGAAGACATGTTGCTCATATTACGTGAATGAAGAGTGACAACATGTACTTCCAGGTGGTAGCAAGGAGAGAATCAAACTGCCCATTTCTCTATACAGACTGAAGAATATGTAACCTTTAGCCACATGGTGGCATGGCCAGTCTACTTACACACTTTTCTAGTGTGAGGGTAGGGTGAGGTGGAGAGTAGAAAGAAAACAAGATCTGATAAACACTGGGAGATTTCAGGCAAACCATCTTCGGCTTGCAATTGTCACTGATGGGAGTGATGAAAGGAAGAGACAGTAAGAATGTGTATTACTTGATATATAAAAACCCACAATCAGGCAGTGAGTAAACTCATCTAAATTTTCCACTGATATGTTTCCATTTTCAGTTTTTGTTTTCTTTTCCTTTCCTTTCTAGGACTGTGCTTTTTTCCAACCTATTTTTTGTTGTTATAGTTGTTGTTGTTTTTTGAGACGGAGTTTCGCTCTTGTTACCCAGGCTGGAGTGCAATGGCACGATCTCGGCTCACCGCAACCTCTGCTTCCTGGGTTCAGGCAATTCTCCTGCCTCAGCCTCCTGAGTAGCTGGGATTACAGGCACACGCCACCATGCCCAGCTGATTTTTTGTATTTTTAGTAGAGACGGGGTTTCACCATGTTGACCAGGATGGTCTCGATCTCTTGACCTCGTGATCCACCGCGCCTAGCCCCTTGTTGTTTTTTTGAGATAAGGTCTCACTGTCACCCAGGCTGGAGTGCACTGGTGTGATCTCAGCTCACTGTAGTCCTAACCTCCCTGGGCTCAGGCGATTCTCCTGTCTCAGTCCACCAAGTAGCTGGGACTACAGGCGTGTGCCCCAATACCCAGCTAAGTTTTATATTGGTTGTAGAGACAGGGTTTCAGCATGTTGCCCAGGCTGGTCCAACCTGAGTTTTTAAAAGGGAGGCTTGCCAAAGAACCAGAAACTCAGGACACTACTACTTAAAACAGGTTGCCTTTTTTCTTTAGAGGTGTTTGTATATTTCCATTTAAAGGAATAAGGCCTGTATTCAGAATAACCATCAGTGATAAGGGTCTCTGTCTTACAATGAGGAAATATCGAAGATTTAAAAAAAAAAAACAAAAAATTCACAAGATCCAAAGGAATAAACTTCTATGATATTTTAGTCACTGTGACATATTAAGTAATAGTTTTTGGCCCTGAATAGGGTAAAAATCCACCTGGACATCTAAAATCTCACCTGTTGAGGAGGGTCACCCATATCTAGTCCAGGATCACTCTGCATATAATGTTTAAAATGGTTTTAGACTTTTCAAAATTCCGTAACTACAATATCCCTTGGAAATAATAAAAAATGCTCTAAAGTGTTTCAAAACCAAATGTGAGAATCATGTTAAAGAATATAATGTGGCCTCCAATTAATTCTGAGTTCACATTCTATGAATACATTTGTTTTCTTCTGATACATTTTGACTCTCTGTATATGATGACCTCTTTAACATGATACTGGGATATTCAGTTTTGCATGACACATACTTCGCAGTGCCAGTAATACAGTAGATGCTCAATAAATGTTCATCATTCAAGTGAACTGTACTGTATTCAATTTCAGATTGTCTACCAAAGTCACAATGAATTCCTTTAAAAATGGTCTTCCATTCCAAGGTATACATCAGTTCACAAAGCTCAGTATGTTTCAGAGAAACCCAATTCCTATGATCACAGATTAAAGTTGCAGATGTTTACTCTTTTCTTGATAACATGGTCCTCTAAATTAGAGTTTTGGGATGAATGGTAAAATTCTAAGACACTAATATAGATTACTTTGCCACCTAGAAACTAGCCACACTTGAGGGAAGTGTTGGCAAAAGGGGAACATTATCAATAGAACAAGTAAATTTAGATTACTGTCCACATAACTATAAAAACAAAACAATTTTAAAATGAAAAATGTTAGCTTAGTTAAAAAATAGATAGAGAGAGAGAGAGAGAGAGAGAGAGAGAGAACTTCAGCCAGGCACAGTGGCTCACACCTGTAATCCCAGCACTTTGGGCGCCTGAGGCAGTGGGATCACGAGGTCAGGAGTTTGAAAACAGCCTGGCCAGCATGGTAAAACACTGTCTCTACTAAAAATACAAAAATTAGGCCAGGTGCAGTGGCTCACACCTGTAATCCCAGAACTTTGGGAGGCTGAAGTAGGTGAATCACAAGTTCAGGAGTTTGAGACTAGCCTGACCAAGATAGTGAAACCCCATCTCTACTAAAAATACAAAAAAAAATTGTACCACTGCACTCCTGCTCAGGAAACAGAGTGAGACTCTTTCTCAAAAAAACAAAGAAACAAACAAAATAGCCAGGCATGGTGGCACATACCTGCAGTTCCAACTACTCGTGAGGGTGAGGCAGAAGAACTGCTTGAACCTGGGAGGCAGAGGTTGCAGTGAGCTGAGATCGCACTACTGCATTCCAGCCTGGGCAACAGAGCAAGACTCGGTCTCAAAAAAAAAAAAAAAACTTTAAGAATTATGAAAGGTATAGTATCTAGTCAGGGAACACAAAATCCCATTTCTTACTAGACAACTAAATATAATTCTTGTTGAATCCTAGAATTTGTGGCATCTTGCAGACGCCAAATGTTAAAGAATACAATTTCATGTCCTGGGATTCACTTCTTGCAATGTCAGCGTGATCACACAGGAAGTGTGTAAAAGGTATCTTCAAAGGATTTACAGAATAAAAATGATATACAGGCCCTTAACTATCTTTCCAAATCATTAAAACAGGAAGAACAGAGTGAATAATACAAATTGAAGTTTAATTTATAAGCTTGTATGTCTGTGACTTGGATAGACATAAGAAGTTAAAACCAGTTCTATTATTTTTATAGCTATAGGACTTTTTCTTTCAGAATATTTTTCCAGATTTCTATCTAGGAAAAAAGGAAAAGGGCTAGAATATAAAAACTACTTTGTGGCCAGGTGTGATGGCTCAAGGCTATACTCCCAGCACTTTGGAAGGCTGAAGTGGGCGGATTACCTGAGGTCAGGAGTTTGAAACCAGCTCACCAACATGGCAAAACCCTGTCTCCACTAAAAATACAGAAATTAGCCAGGTGTGGTGGCATACACCTGTAGTCCCAACTACTTGGGAGACTGAGGCTGGAGAATCGCTTGAATTTGGGAGGTGGAGGTTGCAGTAAGCCAAGATCGCACTACTGCATTCCAGCCTGGATAACAGAGTGAGACTCTGTCTCAAACAAACAAACTAACTAATTTGTGCTTGTGGTTTGTTGCAAAAGAAATAGCTAGAATATTAGCAATGATTGTCTATTTGTAAAATGTGAAAAAGGATTTCTGTCCCTTCCCATTCCTAAACATAACACTATTAGAAAAAGTCAGAAATGGCCGGGCACAGTGGCTCACACCTGTAATCCCTGCACTTTGGGAGGCTGAGGTGGGTGGATCACCTGAGGTCAGGAGATCGAGACCAGCTTGGCCCAACATGGGGAAACCCTGTCTCTACTAAAAATACAAAAATTAGCTGGATGTGGTGGCGGGCACCTGTAATCCCAGCTACTCAGGAGGCTAAGGCAGGAGAATCACTTGAACCCAGGAGGCGGACATTGCAGTGAGCCGAGATGGTGCTGCTGCACTCCAGCCTGGGCAACAGAGTGAGACTCCATTTAAAAAAAAAAAAAGTCAGAAATATTCCACCCACCATTTTTTTAAAAGTACAGTTTATAAACAAGGGCTGTATTTGCTCTCCTTTCATAATTATTTTCATGTTTGAATTAGCCCTTCTTAGACAGAAGGGCTAATAATTCTCCAACTGCAGATAAAAGGGAGGCATCTATGCAGCTTTGTTTTCTATCTTCTGACAGTTTTCCATTAGAATGAAGAAAATAAGACCCAATCAGAATAAATATGTTTAAAAGTCCTTCAAAATGAAATTATGAATGTCTTTATATAGGTCTAATGTTATCCTTCAGGTGTAGGCTGGCGTTGGGATTCGGATAAATGTTACGAACGTTAAGGAACTTTCAGAATTAAGAAGTCATTAAAGTCATACACCCAAATAACTTTACGTTACATTTTATAATTCTGTTTCACAACATGATTTTAATGATCTCTGCTTTTTGTTTTAATTTTTAGGTAGAACTAAGTCTACTTGTATATAAATAACACAAAAGAAATGTACTTTCGCAACAACAGTGGCAACAGTAACATTTTTGTCTTACTTTAAAAAATTAAACTCAATTATTCTAAGTTCTTCAAAAACGTAGATTTTAGAAATATTTTTGTTATACTCCACTGGCATGAATACTGGTTATTAGGAGGCTGATGCACAGCTGATTGGATTTGTCTTTGGATGTAAATACATACTGAAGTCATCAGTTCGGCACCACTTCAAACTCTCCAGTCAATTATGATTCTGCTCAAATCCAGCAGCACAATTATTTCATCATTGGAAAGGAACTTTAAAAAAAACATGGAAGCTTTAAAGAAGACAGATTTCTGTCATACACAATAATGCTGACTGGCAGAAGAACGCACATTGCCAAATGTGTTATTTTTTTTATATAAGTGAGTAAATAGGAAAGCACTAAATAGAAATCATTTTTTCAACATAATTGTCTAATGAAATTACTTTTGCACCATAACAAAATAGAGCATTTTGAGAGAAAATCTTTAATCCTGAAAAAGCTCACTGAAAATGACAACAGCCTTCTTTTTGGAGACTCTGTATAGCTGACTAGAAATCTAGAAAATATTTAAGACTAAAGGCATTGGGGATTTTGTTGTTGGTTTTGTCATTGTGGTGTTACTATTTCCACTCACCAGCTCGAAGGGGTCGTGGAACTCCCCCAACAAAGATAGTTTTTCTGGGGTCCAAAGGCTGAGAACCATCCATTACAAAGTCACTGTCACTTAGGTTCCATGGTCGAATTTGCACCTGAAAAAAAGTTGTTTACTTGGTCCTTACTTCATTTCCATCAACCCCAAATGAGAATAAGATGACTAAAGACAAACCCATTGATTTGTGCATTTCACAATGAACATGACCCAAACAAAATCCAGTTATTTAGTTGTAATCTGCTTTAAGTACCTTTCAATAGAATGCTTGGAGAATCTACTTACAGCTACTGTACTCAGCACTCTAGGCAAATGACATATACTATGAAACCATCGGAAACCACCTCTGCCTGTGGGGTTTGTTTGTTTGTTTGTTTACTTTAAGACAGGCTTTTAGAGACAGAGTCTGTATTTTGAATTAGATTCATTTTAATGCATGATAGAGACTGTTTACAATGTGTCAGAGTACACCACTTCGTTTGTTTTTAAGAATTCACTTAAACCACATTAGGAGTATTTTCTAAAAATTATCCATGTCTGACTTTTTAATTCTCATCATCCTCCAAAATTCAAATGTATCTTTCAGCAATGTGATTTAATACAGATTAACACTCAGCAAGTTAGCATAGAATTACCAGAGATAACAATAAAGCACAGAGAGCATTCTCTGGGGTCGGCCCGGTGGCTCACTCCTGTAATCCCAGCACATTGGGAGACTGAGGCAGGCAGATCCTTTGAGGTAAGGAGTTCGAGATCAGCCTGGCCAACATGGTGAAACTACGTCTCTACTGAAAATACAAAAATTAGCCAGATGTAGTGGCTCATGCCTGTAGTCCCAGCTACTCAGGAGGCTGAGGCATGAGAATTGCTTGAACCCAGGAGTTGGAGGTTGCAGTGAGCTGAGACTGCACCACTGCACTGCAGCCTTGGTGACAGAGCAAGACTCTGTCTCACGCAAAACAAAAAACAAAAAAAAGTTATCTCTTTTTTATTTATCTGATTTTCACAAACGAGGCTGGTTGAATAAAAGCAAGACTCCAAATTGAAGTAAATTTTTTTAAAAGTAGAAAAAGAAATCTTTATGGAATATTTCTATTTGGTCATTTTTCTTAACTGGGACTCTGACTTAGTGCCCGTAGTTTGTCCTATTTTATCATACAGTAAAAAATGAGTTATTTCATTAGAATTTTAACTTTAAAACATAAACCTTTATGTACATGGTTTTATGCATAAAACGTCAAAACATTATCAAAGAATAGCTTAAAACAAAAACAGGGCCGGGCGCGGTGGCTCAAGCCTATAATCCCAGCACTTTGGGAGGCCGAGGCGGGTGGATCACGAGGTCAAGAGATCGAGACCATCCTGGTCAACATGGTGAAACCCCATCTCTACTAAAAATACAAAAAATTAGCTGGGCATGGTGGCACGTGCCTATAATCCCAGCTACTCAGGACGCTGAGGCAGGAGAATTGCCTGAACCCAGGAGGCGGAGGTTGCGGTGAGCCGAGATCGTGCCATTGCACTCCAGCCTGGGTAACAAGAGCGAAACTCCGTCTCAAAAACAACAACAACAACAAAAAAAAAACCAAAAAACAAAAAACAAAAAACATCCTTCCACACCAAAAGGCAAATTTTGCACTGCCTCAAAACCAACCAGTTAGGCAGAGCCAATATGCTCTGAGAAGCGAGCTGGGTGCAGAACAGGAACCTGCTATCTGTCCTCCAGGAACATGCCATTCCCCCTCCCCTCCACCAATGACTAAGACAACAAAAAAGTTGACTTTTCATTTCCTTATTATTAACAAAACTGTTCATTTCCCCCATTACTTAGACATCAACACTTAATGCATGGAAACATGTGGGATAATTTTTTATGTGGCTTGGCTTATACCCAAGAGTACTTCCACTTGAAAGGCAGCACTTGTGGCAATTATACTTTTAAAGCATTTTGAATGAACTTTAAAATTGGCATTGCTCAGTTAGAAACAGTCTACACATTCTTCTTCTTCTTCTTCTTTTTTTAAGATGGAGTTTCCCCCTTTTGTCCAGGCTGGAGTGAAGTGGCACGATCTCAACTTGTGCAATCTCTGCTCCCCAGGTTCAAGAGAATTCTCCTGCCTTGGCCTCCTGAGTAGCTGGATTACAGGTGCCTGCCACCACACCCAGCTAATTTTTGTATTTTTAGTAGAGACGGGGTTTCACCATATTGGCAAGGTTAGTCTCGAACTCTTGACCTCAGGAGATCCTTAGGGGATCCACCCGCTTCAGCCTCTGAAAGTGCTAGGATTACAGGTGTGAGCCACCGCACCCAGCAAGTCTACACATTCTTTAAGACTGCTACAAAATTCACTCTCACCTTTTTGCCTTTATTTTTATTTTTTTGAGACAGAGTCTTGCTCTAATGCCCAGGCTGGAGTACAGTGGTGTGAACTTGGCTCATTGCAACCTCTGCCTCCTGGGTTCAACTGATTCTTGTGCCTCAGCCTCCTGAGTAGCTGGGATTACAGTGTGCCACCATGTCCAGCTAATTTTTGTATTTTTAGTAGAGATCGGGTTTTGCCATGTTGGCCAGGCTGGTCTCAAACTCCTGACCTCAAGGGATTTTCCTCCTTCAGCTTCCCAAAGTGCTGGGATTATAGCAGTAAGCCACTGTTCCTACCCACTTTTTGCCTTTTATGACACTCTTGCCCTCAACAGTTAGCCAGAAGACACAAAATCTCCATTTCTTCCTAGAACCTGAAAATTTGAACCTGTTTACAACATTGTTAACATTCAGGCATTTGCTCCATCTTTATTGCATGAAAACAAATGCAATTCTTTCCTTGTAAACTTTCATCTGTTTGAAGTATCATTCCCTTGACATTTACTATAAAGGTAGGTTCACTAATACCATAAAGCATCACTTATAAATGCCTTCATGAGGACCTATTCCCTATTACTAATTTTTTCATTTAATACACAATAATTTCCTGACATTGTGAGAACAGGGATTCTAATATCACACATACATACACACAGGTGTATCTTTTTCTACACACAATCTCTCTTCTAATCTCATTCCTAATAAAGCAGTTAAGGCAGGCAGCTTCAGGACCTGGTAAGGTAATTCCAATCATTTTATGTTAATTGCATTTGATCATAAATCACTTTAAGAAATGAAAACCATTCTTGTGTATTATCCAGTGATCTGCTTTCAATTAAATCAGAAATACAGGAAATGCAGCCTTTTATAACGGCTGTAGGTTACCACTGCTCAAAACAATTCTGCAAAGGATCTCAAGCCTTCCTGCTGAGAGCTTTAATTATCACCTACTGCCTTTTCTGCCCACTCCCCAACCCCCCACCTCACTTCATCACATCCCACACAATCCATTCCTTTATTGTTGGCAGTATAGATTAGGTAAAAATACAGGAAGAGGGCTCAGGACACAGTGCTGATTAACCCTACCCATGAAATCTACATTTCCTGATGGCCACCAGAAAACAGTTGCTCAGAGATGTCACCTCTGCAGAATCAGAGAAACATCAACATAGAACAATATCAGCAACCTATTATAAGCATACGAAACAAAAAATAATATTGTGGTACTATTTGTACGAAAAGATCCACTCACACTCCGGCTTCTCTCTGAAATATAATCCCATTCTCACACAAGGCCTGTTTCTCCAGACCGCAGGTCCTGATATCCATGTTCTATCCTTCTGGACTTACTCTTTGGATATTTTCTGGTCCTGATTACATATATATGTGTAAATATATATATATATGTGATTATATATGATTTTATACACATAAAGTATATATATACATATATATATATATATACACACACACACACACACCCCTTATTGTAATATCATACTTTATAAGCTAATTGAAATATCTTGTGGAAAGGCTTAGAGTATAAATAAAATGACAACTTTTTAATTACCTTTGTTTCTTTAATAATTATTTTTGAGAATAGATGAAATTAGAATTCTGTCCTAATTCAATATAAATTTCCTCTGGCAAAATATGCATGTGTATACACACACACACACACACACACACACACACACACACACACACACACAGTTGGTCCTCTATATCTGCGAGCTCTGAGTCTTGCAGGGTCAGCCAATCTCAAATAGAACTTTTTTTTTTTTTTTTTGGAGATGGAGTCTTGCTCTGTCACACAGGGTGGAGTGCAGTGGTGCAATCTCAGCCCACTGCAACCTCAGCTCACTGCAACCTCCACCTCCCAGGTTCAAGCAATTCTCCTGCCTCAGCCTCTCAAGTAGCTGGGACTATAGGTGTGTGCCACCAGACCTAGCTTTTTTACTTTTCTTTTTTTTTTTTTTTTTTTTTTTTGAGACAGAGTTTCGCCCTTGTTACCCAGGCTGGAGTGCAATGGCGCGATCTTGGCTCACCGCAACCTCCGCCTCCTGGGCTCAGGCAATTCTCCTGCCTCAGCCTCCTGAGTAGCTGGGATTACAGGCACGTGCCACCATGCCCAGCTAATTTTTTGCACTTTTAGTAGAGACGGGGTTTCACCATGTTGACCAGGGTGGTCTCGATCTCTTGACCTCGTGATCCACCCGCGTCGGCCTCCCAAAGTGTTGGGATTACAGGCTTGAGCCACCGCGCCTGGCAACTTTTCATTTTTTTATAGAGATGGGGTTTCACCATGTTGACCAAGCTGGTCTCATAGTCCTGGCCTCAGGTGATCCACCTGCCTCAGCCTCCCAAAGTGCTGAGATTACAGGCGTGAGCCACTGTGCCTGGCCTAGAAAATATTTTAAAATAAAAATAACAACAGTAACAATAATACAAAATTTAAAACTATAGTATAACAACTAATTATATACCATTTACATTGCATTAGGTATTATAAGTAATCTAGAGACAATTCAAAGTATATAGAGAGGCACATGGGTTACACCCCTCATATAAGGGACTTGAGCATACGTAGATTTTGATATCTGAGGGGGTTCCTGGAACCAATCCCTTATGCAAACCTAGGAATGACTGTATAGGGATAACTCTCTGTGTGAGTGAAAGAGAGAGAGAGGGTGTGTGAATGAAACAACTTTTCCAGTATGTTGCCAAGCAGAAATAGT